AACTCTTCTGTCGTCTCGGAGGTCAAACTCTCCTCTGAAACAACAAACAAAGTTTAACAGCGACAATAAAACCTTCCACTTCCTGTGGAAATGATCCGAAGGCAGAAAAATAAAACGTCATGACAGAGAGACGAACGGTTGGTGTTCTGCAACTTTACTCTAAAAACTGCATTACCCATGAGCCTCGGCTGACTAAAATAAGACGATGTCACGTCAAGGAGTGGTTTGAAAAGTGAATGTTTGTAGTTTTTGACAGGAAATGAAAGTAAAGCTGAACGGTGGAGCAGAGTGACGAGTCCTGGCGAGTGGAGGGAGCAGTTTTACCACCAGGTGCAGTGGTGGAGCCAGGGGGTGGCCAATGGTGGCTCTGACCACCTTACATTAATCTTCAGTCACCCCAATCATTTAAAGAAACTTTACTTTAAAGCAAAATAACAAGAAGGTGTAGTTTGCTCAATTGATAGAGGTGCAGCCATCTTTAGTTGGCGTGGCAACAATTTTCCATCCTTTCTTACGCCTTCACGCAGCCGCTCAACAAAATGGAAGTTTCTAATTTTTGAAGTTACGAAGCTCACAAGACGGACAGAAGTTCCAGTTCCACTCTGAGCTCCATGTCAGGGATAAAAACAGACTTTATAAAACGCAGCGAGCTCTGATAAGATCACCGACCTGTGACGTCACGTTTACGTTTAGCAGATGTTTTCTCATCTTCCTCCTGATCTGGCTTCTCTTCTTCGGCGCCGCCCGCTTCATTTAAAGAGTTCTAATAAAAACAAAGAGTTGATGTTTGAACTTTAAATCCACTCAAAGAACAAAAAGCGTCCATGTTTGTAGTCTCGGCCTCACCTCAGGCCTCAGAGAGTCTCGGGTTTGTTCCTTCGTCTCTTCTTGAGTTTCAGCTTCACTTCTGGACGGAGGTTCTGGTTGGTCGTCCGTGTTGATCTCTGGTTCTGCAGCTGCCTCCTCATCTTCAGCAGCAGGTTCTTCTGCAGTAAAATCTCAGTTAATCATGATTTAGAGTTCATTAAATAAGAACTAAATTTCCAGACATTTACAAGAGAAGGTTAAAAAGCACAAAATGTTTGAAAACTTCTGACACGTTTTGTTCAGTTTGGTTGTTGTCGGTCAGCTTCATCACGTGATCTGACGTGTTCCTCTGGATCTGGAGTGTGTCTTCTTCTTACCGATGGGGGGTTCGGCGTCAAACAGCATCAGTTTGAATTCGTCTGCGACTTCAGAGGTCTGAGAACAAAAACTCTCGGTTTCGGGTTCAACGAGCTCCGTCCTCTGATCGCCGATGTCTGAAGAACAAATTAAACGATTCAATCCGTCACTGGAAATTTTCACTTCACTCAACTGGAACAACGACCAGATGAATGTTTTCAGACAGTTTGGAAATAAACTGATTATCTGAAGGTTTTGAATCTCCAAAAAAGAAAGAAACTGAAGCTGCAGTTTGTTTATCGTCCAGCTGCAGGAACGGGTCAATTATGGGTTCCAAGGTCTACCATGGTGATCCAAAGTACCGGCTGATATATTGCTATGGTCGATATATCGGTAGAGCCGATATATTGGTAGAGTTGATATATTCAAAGAGCCGATATATTGGTATAGCCAATATATTGGTAGGGCCGATATACTGTATTGGTAGAGTCTATGTATTGTTAGGGCTGATATATTGGTAGGGCTGATATATTGATAGAGCTGATATATTAGTAGGGCTGATAT